ATTTTATTTGTGACATTAAGTCAATCTGGAATATACTATAGATATTGAGTGGTTATCTGACATCTCAAATGAGAATGTGCTTAAGTTTGGTGACTTCTTTATTTTCCTGCTATCACTACTAGTACTTCAAATGATGTTTATGTTAGATCTGCATGATTTGCATGGCTATAGATAATACAAACGTAACATCTTCTTTGTGCTAGCCATCAGGATCGTAGGGACATTATATGATCCCATGTCATCTTCACAAAGATTGTATAAAGCAGATGATTGGCAAAGACAACATTTTATGAGAAGTAACAAGGCTTTTCAAGATCACTGTATTCATACTTCAGTCCAGTGGAAGCCTTTCTAATTGTGAGAAGACTTGTTTGAGATTATAATTCATTTATTTTTTAAAGATTTATTTATTTATTTATTTGAAAGGCAGACTTGCAGAGAGGCAGAGAGAGAGAAAAGGGAGAGAGAGAGAGAGAGAGAGAGAGAGAGAGAGATATCAGCTGGCTCACTTCCCAGATGGCGGCAATGGCTGGAGGTGCGCCAGTCTGAAGTCAGGAGCCAGAAGCTTCTTCTGAGTCTTCCATGCAGGTGGGATTTGGGCCATCTTCTACTGCTTTCCCAGGCCATAGCAGAGAGCTGGATTGGAAGTGGAGCAGCCGGGATTCGAACCAGCACCCATATGGGATGCCAGCACTGCAGGCAGTGGCTTTACTGGCTACACCATAGCGCCAGCCCCAATTCATTTAAAATACTATTTTAATACTATTTTTATGCAAGTCTTTTCCAAATTACAGGTGTTTTAAAATTTTTTTATGGTCAAAAGCTATTTTAAGTCTCATTTTGTTTTATTCTGCTTTATAGTTACAACAAAAATCTTACAGGTAACACTATATTTTAAAAATCCCTTTAGTATATATATATATATACATATATATATATAAACAATAGTTATGAATCAAGGAACAGAATGGAGAACCAGATATTACCATCTCTGGTGCTAACTGAGCTGCTGCTTTCCAATGTGACCTTAAGAAAACAACTTAAATTTTTATTGTTGCTGTTATTTTCTTGACATATTATCTTACAAGACAATTTGAATTCTTGATGAATGACAGATTTCAGGAAAGAATGAAGGAAAAATGATTTTATGTGGAGGTAAGGAAAAATAGAAAGAAGGGAACTTAACACTGCATTTATTACAGAAACAGAAATAAAAATTATGCTGAATTTAAAAGAGTAGTTATGATTACATGGGTTTTCATTCATCATTATATTTATTTTAGGTTATATGCTTAATGATATCCATGAAGGGCACTCTCTCTTCCTCTAAATTGCATTTATCATTCAAATTTGGGGATACTCTCAGGTATTAAGTGTCATTTGAAAAAGCTTTCATAATTCTGCACTTATAACAATAAGACCTAGTTTAGAGTATAGAATACAGATATCTTAGTGTCATCATTTTCTTCACTATCATTTAAAGGACCTCAGTGCATACATCGCACAGCTTTCATTCGAGTCTTTTAATTTGTATGTCTGGTCGGCGCCGCGGCTCACTAGGCTAATCCTCCGCCTGCGGCGTCGGCACTCCAGGTTCTAGTCCCGGTTGGGGCGCCGGATTCTGTCCCTGCTGCTCCTCTTCCAGTCCAGTCCTCTTCTCTGCTCTGGGCTGGGAAGGCAGTGGAGGATGGCCCAGGTCCTCGGGCCCTGCACCCACATGGGAGACCAGGAGGAAGCACCTGGCTCCTGGCTTCGGATCGGTGCAGCATGCCGGCCATAGCAGCCACTTGGGGGTTGAACCAACGGAAAAAGGAAGACATTTCTCTTTGTCTCTCTCTCTCTCACTGTCTATAACTCTAGCTGTCAAATAAATTAAAAAAAAAAAAACTATTGTATTTTCTAAGTACTTAAAAATGTGTTTGTCCTGTTATTGGTGTTTCCTTTGAAGATAAACTTAATATAATTAAAACCAGGTTACATGTTAGTTTAAGAAGAAATGTACTCAAACTTTGATTTCACTCTTAGGCAGAAATCATCGCTTACATTTTATTTTACTATAATTCTGCTTTAAAATACATTACTGTTTAGATTTTCACAGAATACATTTCCGAAAATAAACATTGGCAATGTCATAAACCAGCCATATTTCTTTTCAATGGTTCTTCCCTTTTTTCACTGAGACCAGTGATGTGCTAAAAGATATTGTTAACACTGAAAGCAGAACAGTTCCTAGTTAGAAAGACCAGAGGCAATGGAATAAAAACTATCGATTTCTAAAAATCAAATAAAAATACAAAAGTTGGGCAGAACTGGATGAGTTTAACTATCTTTTTCCTGATAAAACCAATACAAAATTATGAAATTCAAATTTGCTTATAGTTTCTAACTTCATGAAGTATTTTATCCACTAAATATTTATGGAACACTTTGAGATATTACTTATGTTTACAGGTTTTGTCTTAGGTAATTTAGGTTTCTATAACAAAATATTACAAGTTATAGGTGGGTGTTTGGCCCAGCAGTTAGGGTCCCATTTGGAATACTTGCGTCCTTATCCCTAGTGCTAAGTTCAAATCTTGGCCCTGCTCTCCATTCCAGCTTTTCTGCTAACACACTCTGGGGGGCTCAAGTACTTCCCTTGGTGAGAGGCCTAGACTGAGCTTCTAGTTCCTGGCTTTGTCCTCTCATAGCCCTGGCTGTTGCAGGTGGGCATCTGGGGAGTGAACAAGCAGAAGGAAGATCTCTCTGTCTCTCTGTCTCTTGTTTCTCTCTGTCTCTCTCTCTCTTCTTCCCTCTATCCCACCTTCCCTCTTCGTCTGGCTCTCTGACTTTCAAATGCATTAAATAAATAAAGATTTCCAAGAGAAATACCACAAATTGGTTAGAAGTCCAGAGTGAAGGCACTCTCAGATTCTTCCCTGTCTGCTGCTTTCTGGTTCATAGATGATGCTTTCTCTTATAAGGGCAGTAATCCCATTATGACAGCAGAACCCTCATAGTCTCATCACTTCCCAGTGCTCCAGCCCTTAATACCACCACATTGGTGATGAGACTTTCACCATCTGCACTGGAGAGACAAAAACACTGAGACCAGAACAAATCCCACATAAACCGATTTTAACAGTTAACTTTGTGAGGGAACCAGAGCAAGTACACATGCTTCTTTATGAATGGATAAACTGTAGCTCCAATAGGGCCAAACTGAAATTGGAACTTGGATTTCATGGTTCTGAATGAGAAACTATTTCCGATTTCTCTGATCTTAAAGAGAGTTTACTATCTAATGCAGGAAAATTGGACTCTATGTCGTGTGCTAATGGATAATTTAGCTGATTTTCATAGCAAAAAAATGGCTCTATGGTTAACCAAAAACTTAATTTGATTTTTTCTTTGATCACCTAGGTAACCTCAAAAAAAAAAAAAAAACCACCAATTCATATCTTTCCTTCCTCCTATTATCACATAAATAATCTGCTTCTGGCAAGTTCTCTCCCTTTTGGTTGTCAGTGCTAAAGGACATGAAGCATTTTGTGAAGGGCTCTTAGTTCTAATAGCTACACTACTCTGCTGGTTGAGAGACCTCTCTGGAGTTGTTCAAATTCTTCAGACTTGAAAAATTTCCTCACTTGGAGTCAAAAAAATACTAACCTGAGTTCACCACACAGAAAGAGCAGTGAAATAAAGAGATTATGCTAGAGCCGAGTTTTTTCCAAAATAAGAACACCATTCTAGGAGAAATTTTCCACTGAAATTTTTATTCCCAAGAACCAATAAAGTATATTATTTAAGCGTTTATTTTATACTCAGTATATTGTTGACTCTTGGTAAATACAAGTTAATAAATTATAATTGGTATATAATTAGGATAACTATAAGTCATGAATAAAGATCAAACAGATATTAGAAGCGACTAATTCTCAGAAGCAAGAATTTATAATCCAGTGAGTGAAATTAGTATAGAATATGACACACATCACTTCTGCAGTTCTGAAAATCACTCTACACTTGCTGAAATATTTTACAAACTGATTATATCTCTAAAGTAGATAAAGATGAAATTCTCAACTCAAACTACTGAACTAAATCCAGTAAACAAGACTATGATTTTACAGTTATTGTCAAAATCTTTTTGAATAGGAAGTCTACATTAAGGCATTTTTTATTAGCTTGATGTGGAAACAAATTTATGTAATAATAAATACATTTTGATAGAAAAATCTAAATGTTGTGTTTGCTGGGATTTTTTAGCCTACTATTAAAAATCCTTTTTATGATGGTACGTTAAGTTAGAACTCATATATTTGAAGTTCTTATGAGCCTCGTTTATAGTTAAAATTAAGTGTAATTCACTGTGCACCCACACATTTTTGTGTTTTCTGTCCTTTAGGGATTGTTCTTAAATATTTTCACAAGAAATTATAACTGTGCATAAGATTAAAAGACAGTAGATGGCCCCTAAGTGATTGTAGTGATGCGTTTCTTTCCAAGAACTTTGCAAATGTCACATACTGCCTAAGGACAATTTATTTTTTTCCATAAATTGTGTATAATTATTTCTACTGTGATGCCATGGTAACCTTCTTTGTGAAGCATGATTTTCCATAAAGAGGGGAAGTAGGCCCTTAAGTAAATAGAAAAATCCATATTTAATGTTAGAATCAAATTATCCAAAGCATCAATGAGTTAAAATCTGAGTCATTTTTACTGAGAACTAATTTCTACAATATTTAGATAGTAACTGTATTACTATAATTTAATATCATGAGGGGGAAGTGATCTATTGATCAGCACAACAAATTTGTATATAAAAATCCAATCTGTGACTGGAATTCAGCATAAGAATTTAATATTTACCATTCACTCACCCAATTTACTGGGTTCCAAGAATTGTTAAAAGTGTTGTTGCAGTGATATTACAAATGTAACATACAATGTTTATCTTCAATAGAACTTACATATTTAAGATAAAACTTAAGGAAATGAATTAATATGGGGGAAAAACACCTGCATTAAATTATTCATGAAAAATTGACATGGAGACACTGGTCACTGTTGTTTGGAATTTGGAAACACAGGGAAAGATGAATGTCCTACAGGATGAAGAAGCACTCTGAAGGGTGTTCAATTAGTGTAGACTGGCATTGGAATCCTCTTCATGCTAGAAGACAAAGCAATTATGTGAAAAGAGAAAAGGCTGCAAATGACCTCAACTAGCACTTGTACTCAAAATAAGAGTCATCTGAGCCATCCTAAAAACTGTGATATCTATTTTTAAAGCTTTGCAAGGTTATTCCAAGAATAATGTAGGCATGTTATCTCATGATTTACCAACCTTTTTATTAATAATAAATAACTGATTTTCAGAGTCAACAATTTACTTGTGTGCATGAAATTTTCATTTGTAACATAGACTAGTACAGATTAAATACTCAACAAATGACTCTTTCATTTAATCCATTCTCATCAGACTCCTACAGGATTCCTGTTCATCAATCTCATGTTGTACAAATTATCCTCCATTAATATTTTCCCCTACTTCGCAAATAGCTAGCTAATTAGAATGATCCATAGTTACCACATAAAGTAACAGTAAGGGTCTAAATGAGTGGTGGTAAAAGGAAATCTCTGTTTTTCATCTGACAGTTTACACTTTCCACATCCCATCCACAAAATTAGCAACCATTATGTCAGGCATTCTACAAGTCCTTCATGGCATTAGCACATTTGGTTTTGACAATCCTGAGAAGCATAAATATTCACAATCTAAAGATAAGAAGTCATATAGATAGCAGTACATTCTTTAAGATCTGATATAAACAATTTGAAAATCCAGGATTTTGTCAGATCCATGTCATTGTCTTCCACCTGAAAAATTTTTAAAAACTTTGCTGATAAAGAAAATTTGACTTTGTAAACATATTTAATATACTTTAACAACCATTATTCTTTTATAAAATATAAATTTAAAATATTTTAATTCCTACTATTTTGTCTAAAATTGAAAATCATATATAATAATAGAAAAAATTTTAAAGATTTATTTATTCATTTGAAAGTCAGACTTATGGGGAGGAGGAGATAGAGATTATCCATCCACTGATTCAGTCTCCAGTTGGCAGCAATAGCCAGGGTTGGGACAGGCCAAAGTCAGGAGACCAGGAGCTTCCTCTTGGTCTTCCCCATGGGTGCCAGGGACTGAATTACTTGGAATATCCTCGAGTACTTTTCCAGACTGTTAGCAGGGAGCTGGATTGGAAGTGGAGCAGCAGGACTCAAACTGATACCCATATGGGATGCTGGTGTTGCAACCATTGGCTTTACCTACTATGTACAACGTTGGTCCTGGAAAAATTTTTTAAATAATTCTAATACTTGAGTGAAAATTATGTAGGATTATATTTTATGAATGTTCTGATCTAAGAAGATAAGAGATACTTTATGCTACAGTTTGTTCTTATTTTAAAGACAAAATCATGACATACAAGAAACTTGCTAGAAATTCTCAGCAGTGATTTAAGAGATCGTATTATGTAATTCATATTAAGATGATTTTTAAACTTGCTCTGAGGTTTTAATATTTATATTTGCTTTTATTTCAAAGGAAGGGAAGAAGAGGGATGGAGGGAGAGAGATATTTCATCAGCTATCTGCTGGTTCACTCCCCAAATGGCGCAACATCTGGGGTTCTGGCCAGGTCAAAGCCAGGAGCCCAAGGCCCAATGTGGATCTTGCCTATGAGTAGCAGGGCAATTTATTAAGCCCTCATGCGCTGCTTCTCAGGGTCTATATTAGCAGGAAGCTGGATTCCAAGTGGAGCCAGATCTTGAATCAGACACTCAGATATGGGATGTGTATATCCCAGTGTCCTAACCACTGGGTCAAAAACTCTCTGTCCAAGATTGTTATATACCTTGTTCTGTATACCCTAATACTATTTTCCGTTTTACTACTTGTCAGATACTACTACCTATGTATATTATTTGTAGTCCTTTATTGTAAACAAATACCCCTGAGAGTTGTTAAGCTTGGAAAGTTTAAATTTTACAGTGTTTACGTTTTACACACTGTTAAGTAAGAGAAATTGTTAATATATTGCCAGATCTGCAGGACTTACTCACCTCAGTGTTAACAGGCTCACTCCAGCAAGTTATGGGCAACCCTTGAGAATAATAATGATCTTTAAAGATATATGCTATATTTATCTGAATTATAATGCAGACTCAGCTGTCTGTTAGGAAACTTCAGAAGGTTCCACTTCATCATTTTATTGCAATGACAATAGAAGATGAATGGGAGAAAGGATGTATGAGAGATTCCCACTGAGATTTAGACATTTAAATTATGTATTATCCCTGCTTTGTTCAGATGATACTTAGCTGACCCTCAATCTCCCTTGTTTTAGCTTCTTAGAAATAAAAGAATTTTGTTCTAGCAGTTACTGAAATAGAATAAAAAGCATAGACAATAATGCTATATATTTTTTCAACTTTTATTTAATAAATATAAATTTTCAAAGTACAACTTTTGGATTATAACAATTTTTCCCCCTATAACCTCCCTCCCACCCACAACCATCCCATCTCCCACACCCTCTCCCATCCCATTCTTCATTAAGATTCATTTATATTTGACAGGTAGAGTTACAGACAGTGAGAGGAAGAGACAGAGAGAAAAGTCTTCTTTCCGTTGGCTCACCCCCCAAATGGCCGCTACGGCTGGAGCTACGCCGATCCGAAGCCAGGAGCCAGGTGCTTCCTCCTGGTCTCCCATGCGGGTGCAGGGCCCAAGCACTTGGGCCATCCTCCACTGCCCTCCCAGGCCACAGCAGAGAGCTGGACTGGAAGAGGAGCAGCCGGGACTAGAACCTGGTGCCCATATGGGATTCTGGCGCCGCAGGCGGAGGATTAGCCAAGTGAGCCACGGCGCCGGCCCCTCAAGATTCATTTTCAATTCTCTTTATATACAGAAGATCAACTTAGTATATACTAAGTAAAGATTTCAACAGTTTGCACCCACACAGATACACAAAGTATAGAGTACTGTTTGAGTAGTTGTTTTACCGTTAATTCGCATAGTACAACACATTAAGGACAGAGATCCTACATGGGGAGTAGGTGCATAGTGACTCCCATTGTTGATTGAACAATTGAAACTCTTATTTATGATGTCAGTAATCACCCAGTGCTCTTGTCATGAGCTGCCAAGGCTATGGAAGCCTACATTTTTAGAAAATATATTTACCATTGTCATGTAAGGAAGCATTTTATACTCATCTATCCGTATTATCTTTAAAAATCTTAAAAACCCTGATGCAGTATCCTGATTTATTTTGTTGATGAAATAAAGACAAAGTTGAAGTGTTTCCTTCATAGGCTAGAAGAATGAATAAAGGTCAACAAATATATTATAGATTCCTTTCCCCAAACATCCTATTAATATATCTACCAGTGTATCTGAAATAATGTGATAACTGTGATCTAAAACAACTTTCAGCATCTCAGGTTGTCTTAATATCTAGAAAAAACTTGGGGCTCTGAGATTCTATTGTGAGAATGAAGAGTATACGCCAAAAGATAAATAAATAAGAAGAGTATAGATCACTCAATCATCAATCTCTCATCCATGCTAATGTAAATCCCAAGACTTTTTCTCCAGTCCATTCACTAGTTGCAGAGACACGCCGGGCAATGCGTCTTTCTGTTACAAAAACAGTTTCTGCAGTTGATTTGGCTTGCAATGTTAGCAATAAGCAGGAATAAACCCCAACACCAAAACAAACATCTCAACAATTAGACTGACAATATGGGAAGAAAGTGCAAGGATCTATAAATGGAATTTTAAAAACTCAATCTGTAATGAATGAAAAATACCATTTTCTCCTCTCAATTATATGTGTTTAAAACATCTGTTATGTCAATACCAGAGTGGAATTCAAATAGAGTGTATACTTAAATCAAACCAAGTTCATAATCTGTAATAAAATCCTTTTGGAAGAGTTAAGAGCAAATCTATAATCAAAAATGAAATCACTTAAACAACTCACAAACTTTGCAAATATTACTAGCTAGAAAGCAAATTAGTAAAATGATTAAAAAAGTAGGAAAGAGGGAATAAAATATACTCAACATAATAAAAAGCGCTCCCATTGGTACATGATTAGTTTCCAGGGAGAGGGGGAATAGATTACTGTTTCATCAAAAGTAAAAAACTGACTTCATAAACTAAAAATTAGTGAACTAATCTGATTTTAATTAAAAAAATAAGTTCACAGAAGATGCAAAACTATGATCAGAGACAAACGGCAAAATATATGTGGGTAAAATAACAAAACAAAATGGAGGAACAAAGAATTTTCTAGTAGTTCAGGAAGAAAAAAAAAGGCAAGTCACTTAGAAAACAATGAAAAACAAGCTCCTGAATGAGTTCAAATTTGTTCTGGACAGGAACGAAAATGGAAATGGAGTGGCAAAACAAATAGAGACTCTGAGGATTTATTCTGAACTATTAAGTAAAAAAAAAAAAAAAAAAAACAAACAAAACACTAAAACCAGAGATTCTTCATCCAGTTGAATGCCTATCCACGACATAAAATAATGCATTAATATTTAAGTATTAATTAAGTTTTTTTATGAAATTATCTTCCTTTATTTAAAATATATTTATTTATTTATTTTGAAATTCAAAGTTAAACAGAGAGAGAAGGAGAGGCAGAGAGAGAGAGAGAGAGAGAGATCTTCCATCTGCTGGTTCACTCCCCAATTGACTGCAAAAGATTAGAGCTGTGCGGATCCAAAGCCAGGAGGCAGGAGCTTTGTACAGGTCTTCCACACAGGTGCCGGGGCCCAAGGACTTGGGTCATCTTCTACTGCTTTGCCAGGCCATAGCAGAGAGCTGATTTGAAAGTGGAGCAGCCGGGACTTGAACCGGCACCCATATGGGACGCCAGCACTACAGGCAGTGGCTTTATCCACTATGCCACAGCGCGAGCCTGAAAATTATCTGCCTTAAGACAGGATGTGTGTTCCATGTCATCAAGGGATGAATATCTTTGCTATCAAATTTTAGAAAAGTAGGAATTGGGAGAGATGATTCTGGATATTGCTTTGAGAAAAAAGACTAACTACTAGCCAAAGGAGGATTTAGGCTAGTCTACTTAATTATGGATGCAATTCTAGGATCATCCAACTAAGATGATATTGTCATTATTGTTCATAGAATGCTGATTCATAAAAGTAAGATAATGTAGTATTGAAAGACATTAAAATAACAACTGAAATACTCTTTAAATTATTAGGAATATTAAATGTTTGGTGGTCAAGAAATGAAAGAATACCTTGACAACTCTAACTTTGACAAACATTAGACATGTATTTTAGAAAATTAAAACACAAAAAGAAAAAAAAGGAAGGAAATAAAGAATAGACTGAATAATATTATGAAAAAGTAATAATAAAAATATTTTTGAAACTTAATATTTAAATATTTTCAATACCCCATTTATTTAAGAACACAAAATAACATTAGTGAAAATATGTGGTCAAGTTTCAGAAAACTATATAATTTCCTTACATGACAATGAAGATTTCAATAATTAAAGAACCATGCAGGGTATGACAGTGTGGCATAATGGTTAAAGCTGCTGCCTGCCTTAACTGCATCCTATGTGGGCACTAGTTCAAGTTCAGGCTGCTTTATTTCTAATGCAGCTCTCTGCTATGGCCTGTGAAAGCAGTAGAAGATGCCCAAAGTCCTTGGGCCCTGCACTCACATAGGGGACCTGGAAGAAGCTTTGCATCAGTGTAGCTTTGGCCATTGTGGCCATCTAGGGAGTGAACCAGCAGAAGGAAGACCTCTCTCTCTCTCTCTCTCTCTCTCTCTCTCTCTGCCTCTGCCTTTCAAATAAAATAAATAAATCTTAAAAAAAAGAACTATGGGCCGGCTCCGCGGCTCACTAGGCTAATCCTCCGCCTAGCGGCGCCGGCACACCGGGTTCTAGTCCCGGTCAGGGCGCCGGATTCTGTCCCGGTTGCCCCTCTTCCAGGCCAGCTCTCTGCTGTGGCCCGGGAGTGCAGTGGAGGATGGCCCAGGTGCTTGGGCCCTGCACCCCATGGGAGACCAGGAAAAGCACCTGGCTCCTGGCTCCTGCCATCGGATCAGCGCGGTGCGCCGGCCGCAGCGCGCCGGCCGCGGCGGCCATTGGAGGGTGAACCAACAGCAAAGGAAGACCTTTCTCTGTGTCTCTCTCTCTCTCACTGTCCACTCTGCCTGTCAAAAAAAAAAAAAAAAAAAAAAAAAAAAAAAAAAAAAAAAGAACTATGCTATGGTTTTGGATAATGTCCTGTATAAAACAAAATCTAGTGGCAGCTACTTGCTAGACTGGTGTCCAGTACTGGAGTGCTGGTCCACGACTTGGCTGCTCCACTTCTGATCTAGCACCCAGATAATGCACTTGGAAAAGCAACAGAAAGTGTCCCAGTTCTTGGGCCCTTACACCTACATGGAAGATCCTGATGGAGTTCCAGGTTTCTGGCTTCAGCTGAGGCCATTTTGTGAGTGAACTACAGGAAGGAAGATCTTTCTTTCTTTCTCTCTCACTCTATGACTGATCCTTTCAAATGAATAATCTTTTTTAAAAACAGTCTCTCTATAGATTGATGCAATTCTAATAAATAACCTGCTATATTTTTACTCTTCTGAAAATTTTTCTGAACATGATTGGATACTTCTGCTGAACATTAAAATGAGTTTTAAACTACAATACTAATGCAGTATTGCATATGGCACATGCACATCATCATAGTATGCAGACACGTAAAACATGTAAACATTTTTGGTAAGTTACATAAATTTATTGATGAAAGATGATGTGAAGGCAACAATTGATTGAAAAGAATTAAAGTTCTATTTTGATTATAGTATCTTTGAGTTTATATTTAACCTCAAATCATAAATCAAAATACATCTTGACTATATTAAACTATAATAATAAGAGCATTAGACAACAATAAAGATCTATAGGTACACTAACTTACAATGGAGCAAGTGTTTCCATCATGATCCTCAAAGCCAGGTGCTGTAACACAAAAGTCAGATTTGCAGCATGAAATTGCAGGATGTATCTATGGCAGGAAAGATCAGAAATGGGGGCCTGTGCTATAGCACAAAGTTTTAAGCTGTTCTTGCACCCAGACATTTCATATCCTTCAAGTCTTGGGTGTTTTGTTTCCTATCCAGCTCCTTGCTAATTCTTCTGGGAGAGCACTGAAAAATGGCCAGAGTACCTGGACCACTGCCACCCAAGTGGGAGCCCTAGATGGAGTTTCAGGCTCCTGGCTTCAGCCTAAGCCAGTTCTGGCTGTTGAAGCCATTTGTGGAGTGAAACAACAGGTGAAATATATCTTTCTGCCTGTCCCTCCTTTCCCTCTCTCTCTGCATTTAAAGTAAACAAACAAATATAAATAACATTTTAAAACACACAAAGGAACAAAGTATGAGAAATTATTTAAAATATTGGTATTTTTATGAAGGAGATCATTAAAATAGAAAATTTTAGTGGAAAACTGAGCAAACTACACTGACAGACACTTCAAAAATAATGAATTAGTATGGCCAAAAATATTTAGATATCATTATGCTAACTTGCAATGTAATAAACTCAAAATATTTAAAAAGGAATGTCACTTTCCCACATAATTTAGCAATACATAAATAAATAATGTTTCATGTTACTACCCTATGGAGGAAAAGAATGCCTCACACATGGTCAATGAAAGTGAATTTGTTCAGTCATTCTTCAATGGAATTTGACAATATTTATCAAAAGTACTTACAAAAATATTTATGTCATTTGGTCTACCAATACCATGTCTCAGAATTTACCTTCAAGAAATGAGACAGACACAGAGATGGATGAACAAGAGTGGTTTGTAAGCTTCCCCAAAGAGTGCTCAGTTCTAAAAGCTATTCAGCAAATGGAATGGATGTGATTTATGATTGTGCAAACAAAAGGTGGGATTTTAAACTGATTCCAAGGTCTGACCAAAGAATAAGAAAAGGGATTTCAGAAATTAGACAGGTTTATTTTTTCAGCATTCTTTTGAGGATTAAACTAAGCTAGAAAATTAAAGGGAAACAAGACATATATACAGTATAGATTAAAATTAGCTGCTGTAATAGATTACAATGTCAATGCTTAGTGTTTGAAAATACTTTTCTAATTGTTTCAATGCATTTTTTTTTTTCATTTTCATTTTATTTTGGAAAGGATGGTAGGGTGAGAGAGAAAGACAGAGAGAGAGGGGGAAATGGAAAGTGATCTTCCATCTCCTGGCTCACTCCCTAAATGCCCAAAACAGCCAAAACTGGGCCTGAGCAAAGCCATGAGCCCTGAATTCTATCCAGGTCACACAGATGGTTGACAAGGACCCACGTACTTGAGCCATACCTGTTGTCTTCCAGAGCATATATTACAGGAAGCTGGAACAGAAATTGAGCAGTCAGCTGTGAAATTGGGCACTCCAATATGGGATGTGGGCATCCCAAGAGGAAACTTAAACTTATTTCCACAATTTTCTTGCAAGGACAGAACCAGTGACCAATACCTTTACTTATTCCTGTGAGTCTTCCATCTTCAACTTTTATTTCTCAGGATCACAACAGAAGGTTACCTGTGGAAAGTTTTGATTGCCTGAACCTTGATTCTATTGTCTAGAACAAAAACCACATAGTTTCATCCGACTGTAAGGAAGTTGGAAAACATTTAACTTTCTACACTGAAAGCGAAGGAAGTATATGTATCAGCTGGAATTCTCTGCTTCAGTATACCATTTAGGTCACCAAATATGATTTCATCTTTTCTCTTACACAAAATACTACCAAACCCTAACCGAAGAGACAACCTAAATCCCATCAATCCAATGTTCTCAATTCAAAGTCTAAGATCCCCCGGGGTACACATCATAATTGTATTTGGATATGTTAATCCAGAGACAAATAACTCAAAGAAAAGTTATTTATGCCTCCCCTACCTCATGCACAATACACAGGGCACAGACCTGAGAAGCAAACATTCTCCCATTTGGAAATAAAAGAAGAATGCGCAACACAGAGTAGTCACTGATCCATAGCAATTATGAAAACATGCCAGACAGGTGTTAAAATGTCCCTCTTGCCTTGGCAATAGATGCTGTTCCAACAAGAAACTAGAGGCTCCTGTTTTCAATCACCTGTGCCTTCCCCAATTCTACCTTCAGGGCCTCGGCCTTGTCAGGCATACTCCATGACTGCACTTCAAGTAGCTGTCAGGAAATAAGACTTACATCAGGTCTATAGAGATTTTGTAGTCCACTGTTTGCTTCCTCTAGGTTTAACGGTTTGCTGGTTGTTTGGGGAATCAGAGACTCTTTGCTTTATCTGATTGGACCCATGATTCATTGACACAACAATTCTGTTAAAAAGAAATAGTCGACTCCTCCTGTACTTGTTAGGTTCATGTTATTTTTTTTTTAAGATTTTATTTATTACTTTGAGAGGTAGAGTTACAGACAGTGAGAAGGAGAGACAGCGAGAAAGGTCTTCCTTCCATTGGTTCACTCCCCAAATGGCTGCAACAGCCAGAACTGTGCTGTTCTGAAGCCAGGAGCCAGGTGCCGCCTCCTGGTCTCCCATGTGGGTTCAGGGGCCCAAGGACTTGGACCATCTTCTACTGCTTTCCCAAGCCATAGCAGAGAGCTGGATTGGCAGAGGAACAGCCAGGACTAGAATCGCCCATATGGGATGCCAGCACCACAGGCAGAGGATTAACCTACAACACCATGGCACTGGCCCCAGGTTCATGTTCTTACAACACACTTAAAGTTTTGGATGACATTGTTGACAAGCATTATTTATTTCTGTATTTACTACCTGTGTAAATTCCTCTTTTTCGTTTTTTTAAACTTTTATTTGTTACATATAAATTTCCAAAGTACAACTTTTGGATTCTAGCGGCTTTTCCCCCCCATAACCTCCCTCCACCCACAACCATCCCATCTCCCACTCCCTCTCCCATCCCATTCACATCAAGATTCATTTTCAATTATCTTTATATACAGAAGATCAATTTAGCATATATTAAGTAAAGATTTCAAAAGTTTGCACCCACAGAGAAACACAAAGTGCAGAGTACTGTTTGAGTACTATTTATACCGTTAATTCACATCCTACATTACATTAAGGACAGGGATCCTACATGTGGCGTAAGTGCACAGTGACTCCTGTCGTTGATTTAACAATTGACACTCTTATTTATGGCATCAATAGTCACCTGAGGCTCTTGTCATGAGTTGCCAAGGCTATGGAAGCCTCTGGAGTTTGCCAACTCTGATCATATTTAGACAAGGTCATAGTCAAAGTGGAAGTTCTCTCCTCCCTTCAGAGAAAGGTACATCCTTCTTTGATGGCCCATTATTTCTGCTGGGATCTCACTTACAGAGATCTTTCATTTAGGTCATTTTTTTGCTTTTGTTTTTGTTTTTTTGCCAGAGTGTCTTGGCTTTCCATGCCTAAAATACTCTCACTGGCTCTTCAGCCAGATCTGAGTGCCTCAAGGGCTGATTCTGAGGCCAGAGTGCTGTTTAGGAAATCTGCCATTCTATGAGTCTTCTGTGTATCCCACTTCCCATGTTGGATCGTTCTCTCCTTTTTAATTTTATCAGTTAGCATTAGCAGACACTAGTTTTGTTTATGTGATCCCTTTGACTCTTAATCCTATCATTATGATGATTATGAACTGAAACTGATCACTTTGACTAGTGAGATGCCATTGGTACATGCCACCTTGATGGGACTGAATTGAAATCGTTCTAGCTCTACCATTAGGGGTAAGAATGAGTGAGCATGTGCCGAACTGTACATCTCTTCTCTCTCTTTTTCCCACTCTTATATTTAACAGGGATCACTTTTCAGTTAAATTTAAACACCTAAGATTAATTGTGTGTTAATTAAAGAGTTCAACCAATAGTATTAAGTAGAACAAAAAAATACTAAAATGAATAAAGTAGTGAGTTGTTCCTCGACAGTCAGGACAAAAAAAATTCCTCTTTCAAATTATTAGCAGCTATCATGCAGTTATTTGCGATGGTGGAATTGGGAAAGTAGCAGTACACTCAATCAGATCTTTGTCATGTGGCTGAGCCATAGTGGATTTTGTTGCTGAAAGTTTCAGTCACTTTTATCCCTCTTATGTGACTTCTGTAAGTAGAAAATTTTGAGTACCTAAATGTTTAGGCTTCCTTTTGATCATTTATGCTTGGAAACATGTACCTTTTACTGGGCTCATCTCTTTTCTATATCTTACTAAAGGCACAATGTGAAAGAACATTATTAATTACATTTTCCTACTTGCATTTGCTAGAACCACAACCTCGATAGACACTTAATTCCCAGTGCTGACTATTCATCTTCCCTGTCCTATCAGCAACAATGAACAGAGTGGTAAAAACAACCCTTGTCTCCTACATCACAGTCTTCCCTTTGTACAACCTCAGTGGCCCCTACAAGGTCTCCTCCTACCTCATTGTTCACACCTCAGTGTGTCTTGCTGCAGAAACTTCCCAATATTAAATATAGGAGCTCCCTGGTGCTGAGTTGTCATACCTCTTCTTTTCTCTATGATGAACTTTTGGAGAGTTTATAGCTTTGAATCATATTTATCTAATGACAATTCTCAAGTTGCATCTTCCAACTCATCCTTTCCAATGATATAATTTCATTGTTTTATTTTTAAAATGATATTAAAAATAATAAAGGGCATTGGGTTCCAGTGATTTGTCCTCGAATGCCAGCGTCCTGAATCAGTGTGGGCTCTAGTCAGGCACTCTGCTTTTTATGCAGCTCCCTGCTAATGCTCCTGGGAAGGCAGGGGAAGATGGTCCAAGTGTTTGGGTCCCCACCACACATGTGGGAGACCCAGATGCAGTTCTAGAATCCTTGTTTTGGTCTGGCACAGCCCTGGCTGATGCAGCCATTTGGGGAGTGAACCAGTAGGTGAAGATTTCTGTCTGTCTCTGTCATTCTGCCTTTCAAATAAATAATAGAAATCTTTCTATAAAAGAGTGATCTAGATAGGTTTGTGATATTTATATATTTATTTTTATATACATGTATATTATAACCATTTTCGATGGATTTGAGGAGGGAGAAAAGAGACATAGCTGCAAAAATCAGATAAGTTTGTTTATCAAGCCTTTCCTTAAAATGTAAGCTCAGTGGCGACTGTGAGTGATATGTCAAATGTTAAGTCCACAGGTATATTGTAAATAATAGACACACAATAAGTATTTGTTGGCTGGATGATTAGTGGTAATTTACATTAATGCAGTTTATTTTAATAGAAATGTGCTAATTTACCAAATAGTCCATTCTGGTGCAGATACATATTTTATGACTAAATATGACACTAACCAGACAAATATTTTCCACTCTTTCTCAGATCCCAATGCTCTGGCTGGCCAGGCTGGCCCCGACCATGCTCTTATAGGAGGAATAGTGGCTGTGGTTGTATTTGTCACACTGTGTTCAATATTTCTGCTTGGTCGATATCTGGCGAGACATAAAGGTAGGTTATTTACTGAGAGTATGCTTAATTTGGGCAAAAAAAATTTTAAAGATTAGCATAATCCAGAAATATGGGAGTGTGCATATTTTTTTCTGTATGTGTATGTGCAGAGAGAGAGAAAATGAAAGAATGTTAAATAGTGCTGTGGAATATGACTCAGCTACAAACACAAAAAAATGAAATCCTGACATTTGCAACAAGATAGGTGACTTGGAGCTCCTTATGCTAAGTGATATAAGTCAGAAACAGAGACACAACCACACATTTTCTGTCATAAGTAGATGTTAATCTGCATATGTAATAAAAAGGAAATATGTGCATGCCAATTTGTTTAGTATAAACATGTTTTTAAAGGTTTTCTTTATTGAATTTTAACTTTTAGAGCATAATAAACACTCCTGTCCTCATTCTATTATCTTTTTCATGAATTCCACACCATGTGACATTAATATATGCACCCTATTTGAAAAATAGCATGTATGCATATATATAATTTATATATAATATTTATATATGAAACAAATATGGCAAATATAAAAATGGTTCTGTCAGTGTGTATTCATTAAACTCTTCTTTATAGTTTTTTGTATGATTTGAAATTTTTTTAAATGAAAGGACAATAAATAAATGATTACTAAAATGAATAGTCACACATTTGAAATCATCATCATCCATATATTAGCAAACGATTCTAATTGCTATAGAGGCCAGGCTCTTGTTTATCCATCTTTCAAGAAGTTAAAATGCCACATTGCCCATTCTTGTTTGGTTTCTGCCTGTAGCCCACCTGGCCATAGGTTCATCATCAATGTATACACAGGAAAACAGTGTACAAGCTTAGCAGGGTAAATTGTGTGCTTTATTATATCTCAGAATATTTTACAGCAAAGATGAAATGTAACAAACATTCCTTCCTAAGTTAATATGGCTTTAATGCTAGCTGTTTTAGCAGCATCTCAGATCTCACATATCTTTCTTCCTATATCCACAGGAACCTATTTAACAAATGAAGCTAAAGGAGCTGAAGACGCCCCGGATGCTGACACAGCCATTATCAATGCTGAAGGCAGCCAAGTCAATGCTGAAGAGAAAAAAGAGTATTTCATTTAAATGCAGGCCAAGATTCTGAGTTTTCCTGCCCAGGCTGGCTGCTGGAGAAAACTGGCTCTCATCTTTCAGAATTCATTGCTACCATCTTCTGCTACCTTTATTAACTTCCATGCTGTACTGTTCTCAGTAGCCAGTGTTCCACCAACAATCAGCTATTGAAAGCATCATCCTTTAATTACTGTACCATTCATAATGCAGGACATTTCTTACTGCCTAAATTTCACACCATTGCTCATTTAACATACAGTGCTTGAATATACAGCCTTAACAATGTTAATCATCTCCTTGGACCATGATATTGAGTTGTTTTTATTCCTTGAAAAAAATGTATGCAGAAGTTTTTCTTCCCCGAGTTTTGTTTCCTTTTAGCCATAGACTTTCTCAGTTTGCCATTGCAAAGCTTTCACAGGTAACAGGATTAGGTGAATACCTAATGTGCTTAAGTTTAATCGCAGACTAGAGGTTTACAAGCAATGTTTTCTACATGTTTATCTTCAAAGACAACATGTTTTGGAAACAAATGCCCTAGAAAACACAAACTGAAAATACTGTAGTGTAGTTTCTGTAATGTTTGAGATTATACTGGTAAAACTGTATCAATTTGCTATTTAAAAAAATTAGTATTTGATACAGGAGCCATGTGTATGGACTGCAATCATGACATGATATCGTATATAATTCTATAGATCCAACCATTAGGTTGTAGCTTCATTTACCAATAAATTGTTCCAAATACTTTACTGCTTTGGGAATCACAAAGATTTCATTCATTCTCTGATTTGATTCTATAATTTATTTGCTCCATAGTAACTCACTTGCCTAAACAAAACTAAAGTATCCATAGGGCACAATTTTGAGACATTTTAGTATCTGTATATAGTGCATATAATAAATCCAATTAAACATTATTTGATACATATTTAACTTTTTTGGCTGTAGGTACTTCAGTCATAAGTAAGCATTTTCTAACTTCCATTATATCCCTTTAGATATTACTTAAACCAATATTATAAGTAGATAACATGTATTAGTATTTTTGTCTGTATGTCCTAGCACTGTTCAACAACAAATTTTTCTAGTTCCTGTTAATTTTTATTTGTTATACAATGGAAGCACAATGTTCTAAGGAAAGGTAATTTTAAGCTAACAACCAGTGCACAGCCTCAGGTTTTAAATTACAACCACAGTTGAATAATAACAAAAATAAACTCTTAGTTTGCTAAAAATTTACAAATTTTAATTTGGCAGTTCCAGAGCTGCTTACCTATTTTGGTTTGCCAAAAAGAAGTGTTTAAGATATGTTTTCTGTATAAATGAACTAATTCTTTATATTAAATTACTGTCTATGCATTTTGTGAGGTACAAACTTATGAAACAGTGAGTGATAGAGAATTTCTGCCATGCTTTTAACTCCAAGGTGAAAGTCTCTTTCTCTGGATTATTTTAAAATTTTGATGTATTTAACCATTAAGAAATACTGTATTCTTAAATATGACACAGAGTCAATCTAAAGTCTTATCATTTGTTCTAGTAAAATACAATATTGCTAGATTAGTTCTCATTAAATTTATTATATGCTAAAGAATAAAAATCCAGTTAGATAAAAAATTATTTTCCCATTTACAAGTATTGCACCTTTAAGAAGAAAACTAATATGACAATATGGTAGTTATACTTATGATGTCTGACAGCATGATGGCCTAGGGTCTTAAAAACAGTATCTTGGAATTTATTTTGGGGGACTGAGAATGGTTGAGTACAACATCATGTATTAATATCCAATGAAAGACAAGGTGCCGTATCTTAGATTATTTATCAGAAAAGTATAAATCTTTTAAGGACAATGTTAGAGTTTATAAATTGTTTCTTTTCTTTTGATTGTTGAAGCATTTATCTTGTTCATTTCTTACAAAAGAAAAAGGACGATGTCAGTCGAGCAGCACTTTTTTCAGAATATACAGAACATAAATAATATGATGTGGTTGAGTGTTAACATAATAAATCATATACAGTATGGCATTTTAAGGAAATAAGTCTGCATTGATGTGATTGCATGCTTGTTTTACAGTTCACTCCATACCATCTGTGGAAAACGCAATAATATGTTAATATAGTATGGTAGTTTGAGAGAATCAGGTAGGTGCTACTAGACACATTGAAACTAGAATAGGTTTATAAACTGTTCATAACTTTCAATGCATACTCTTTAGAAAGACTCCACAAAGCAAAATTCATCCTGTTAGTACAAAAGGGAAGGTTCTTATTACAGAAGTAAGTTGTATAAACTGCATCATCAATTACTATTTAAAGCCTAATTTCAGGATGCACTTACAGAATTGCTACTCTTCATTGACACTGTATTTACATCTCTCCTCATTTTGTCTATATTCTACTTGGCTCCAGCCGTTAAATTGTTGCTTAAATAACTCAATCATTATTTAAATCACTGTAAAATTAGAAATTCCAAATCGATTGCATTTCCAGGATTTTAACTCTTTTAACCCTTCAGAGTACTACAAAATCGCATTAATTTTTATTAAAATCACTGGTATATTAAAAATTATGGGCTCTAATTACACATTTGCCAGTTAAGTATAGTTCAACTAGAATTGGATATCATTTTATGTGACTGGAAAAATAATTAGCAATGGAAATATATATTCTTATCTTGCAAATTATTTGATTGTCACCAAATTAATGAGCTATAATAATTCTGATCATATTTATTACAATAAATTGAAACAAAACAGAGGATGTTTATAAATGGGAACCATGTCAATTGGTAAGTCTGAAATGTGCACACTTGTATGCACACGGAGACAATTTCTGTCTCTGATAAGTGAGCATAGGAGCTACGGAACATAGTAGATGGAGTGTACACACACATGTAGCCCTAGTAGAATACGGAGTGTTATTCTTACCAAAAGTAACTATATTCTCTGCCAGTGTACTGTTTACAGTGTAAGTTGATTTTCCTCCATCAAAAAAAAAAAAAAAAGAAAGAAATCTGTACACCATCCTTTTCCTTTTGCCATTTTTGCGTGTCCAAGATAGAATGATGCTAAAAATTAGGGAGAAAAGGCAAAGTTTGTGAGTGCAAGAGTAAAGATATAAACCATAAGCATAGTATTGATGGTGTGTGTGAGTGTTTGTGTGTGTGTGTGTGTATGTGTATGTTTATAAGAGAGAAAAAGACACAGAGAAGACAGAGAGAGAGAAAAATAGAGAGAGATTTCAACTTGTTTTCTTTTATCAGAGAATCCAAGAAGCAGTTTAATGAACCTGATGTTCAAGTATAATCTAGAAACTGGATGATCTCATAGTGATTCAAGACACTTAATGTTTCATTGAAACTCCACAGTTAAAATATCAAATAGAGAAAGAAGCTAACTTTCCTAAACATGACAAAGAAACTAACACCTCATTTATTTTTATTTTCCTGTAAAAATATAAATATCTCAATTAAAGGACAGGCTCACTTGTAATTATGTACTCATGATTGTAACAGCATTGAGATTCCATATCGGCACATGTACAGCAGCTGTTTGACAGTGATGGCTCTTCCATGTAACATAGCAGTTATCGTGTAATTTAGTGCCACTTATTGCAAAGTGTTACCAAGGGGAACATTTACAATGCTTTTACTTTGACTTTAGACATAAGGATAATTTAATAAGTAACAAATATGAAATGTCACCTTGCATTTTTTAATTGTGGAGAAAACATAAAACCTCCTGTCTTAATGCAACTTTCCCATGATATTGTGAACTACTTAGAGTCTTCTAAAAATGCCCAATATTATTTCCCTTTGCAACTGGTAATCTGTGATGAATTTACAAAACCAAAACAAAAAAATTAACCAGTAATCACAGCTGAAATAAAAGAAACACCTAACAAGAATTATTGACCAGTAATGCTTTTGATTAAGTGGCACAAAGTACACACTAAAAACTATGCAAAATATAGGTAACTACAGTGTATGTACATGTAAGTATCTTGTACTTGCTGTGTATGGATGTTGGAAACCCATGTAATTATAATATGCATTTTGAATATTGGGAAAGAGGAAATTTTAGTGTAGATAATAGAATTTGTTTTGAAATATACACTGGCAATATTGAAATATACTCAGTGCAATATCTGCAATTCTATTGCTGGGCACTTCAGGCAAAGGGATTTTTAAAGAATTGTTCAACAAGATCCAAGAGGTTTCTGATCTTCAACTCTCATAAACTAAAGCATTAATTAAAAATAGAACTAACTCTACAAGCTTTTCTTAAACATTAACATGACACTATGAAATTATTTGGTTTAGATATTGCTCAGAAAAAAATTAGTTTCAAACTTTGATTCACATGTAGTTGAATTTGAAATTCTTAAGCTTTCTTTGAAACGCATGTGTTTTAGTATACTGAAGTAGTTTTATTACAAATACAAATTTATTCAATTGAAGAACGTAAAGTACATTTGGTAACTAAAGTCACTTATTGTAATGGGAATTTTTCTTTCTTGTTTTTCCATTTTTTTCTTTTCTATCACTCCCTTCTGCCCCAAACATGCCCTTTGTATTTATACCCTTCCAAAGGCAATGGATTGAACGTAGCAAAATAATAGAGTTAAAGGGGACAATATATAAAATGGGTTCTAAAATCATCAGCATTTTTGTGTACTGAGATTATTAATATTGAATGCAATAGTTTCGGATATAGCTGGTAAGTTCTCTGCCATGCATACTTAAAATAATTCTTCTACCTCTCACTTTTAACATGGGCTATGATACTTCAGTATAAATAGAGGAAGTAACTACTTACATGATATCCCAGGAAGCATTCATTTGAGACTGTCATAACAGTGCACTCCCCACCCCCTGGGAAATCTCAAAAGCCAACTTCTTGTAGTATATACTATGGTGTATGGATCTTCATTTGTTTTCCTTCTCTATCATTAATTTTTCCTATAGGCAAAATATAATTACCTGATAAGGATAATTCCTTTCATGCCTCTTTAATATTTCACTGTAATAGAATTGTGTTTAAATAATTTCAATGGCAACACTTTGCAATCCAATCTGACATTTTTCTTTATCTTTAAAATATACCAATTTCTTATAAATTAATAACATTTTAAATAAATTCATATATATGATTTTATTTTCCCAAGAATCATTAGCTATATGTGAAAAAATATTAATAACAAATAATCCCTGAATAATGCAAAGTATTGCCACACATGGCCACTTTATTTTGCCTGCACAGGCATAATATGAGTATTTCCATGATGTGACTTAATTATCTTAAAGGAAAGTAACATTCTAGGACCGTATTTTCCCCTAGGGAAAAAAAGGATACATGAATATTTCAAATTATGATGGTATATCTATAAAATATGCTTAAAGTTAAAGTAAAATGTTTCTATGTTCTGTAGTTATGTTCAAATAATTGCGATAATTGTTACCATCTTTTTCATATATATATGTATATATATGAAATGTGTGATTATTTTGGAGAGAATGGGCCCACATGTGAAAAAAATGTAAAGAAAAAAATAACACATATTTTCCCCCTCTGAAATATACTGTGTATTTCAAAAGAAGAAAAGTTAAAAGAAATTTGAAGATTGCAGGTGCAAAAGGAAAACCTACCAGGGCTCAGCACTTAAGCACTTTTCCCACATCCAGGGTCAAAGCAACAGTGATTCCTACACGGACTTTTAAGTGCAGCATGAAATGCAACATTACACTTACACACAGTACTGTCAAACCTCAAATACTTTCTTTAGAATCTTTTCCTTGTACATGATACTGCTAGACACTTTGTCTTTATATTTGCTGGTAGTGAAAGTCATACGCAATAAAATATGGATGGTTGAAAGCAGTGATCACACTAATTGGTTAAAAATATGAAATGTAAACAGAATTGTTATATCTTTCTCCTCTTTGCTTTTCTCCGTGTTTCTAATGTATTGAGTGAAATCTCATGAATAGAAAGGAAAATAACCTAGACATTTTTCAAAGCTAGTAATATTTCTCCTTATAAGTGTATAAAATTTTAATCTTTTTACAAATTCATTTAACTGTACCTGCTGTACTTATTGTAGATTCAATGATGCAGTTCGGTGGTAACTCAAGGATTTATGAATTTGGGGTTACCGACCTATTTCTTCACATTCTGTTCACATCAATATTTGTGAATTGGTTGTTTAGTTTTTCATTCAACCAAAAAATATTGCCTCAAGAAAGCTCCATTTTTATCATAAATATTTCAACATAACCAACATTGGAACAAGTCTGCCATGTTAAAAAGAATTTAAAGACTTATCTCTGTAAATGTTACCCAGAAATGCAGGTGTTCCCGATAATGTAGCTTCAAAAATAAAATGTTCTATTTCTATGACATTATACTCAAAACTTTTGGAAGGGTATATTTATGACAGCATAAAAGAAAAATTCTGTGCTGTAAAGATCCACCAACATTAAGCAAATTGCACAGAAAGATAAACACAATTATTGAATCTACTCTTGTCATTAACATTTTCAAGAAACAAAATGCATATTGTAATATTAGGTACATGACACTTGCATGTTGATATGCCTATATACTTACAAAGTATTCAATGTGTACTTAGTGGCGCTTAAAATATGTCATGTACAACTCTTATGAACATTCTTACAGGGTTCCCATTTGCACTTCATTTTTCAGTAAAGTCTTGTCAGAATAATTTGTCTGATAAATATGGAAAAATAAAATTTGAATTTTAGTTATCTGTTGGACATTACTGAATTGTCTATTCATTTAGTACATTTCTGTAGGCTTCAAAACAGACATTGAAAGTTGGAACTTTTTTTTTCCCAGTGACAGATTATAAAAGATGCTACAAAATATATTCCTTTCTTCCAAATACATGATTTTAAACACCTCTTTCCAAATCCATACATTATCATTTCAGGTTTCTTCAGTGATGTCCATTTTCCTCATAAACTTTGAAAAGCAAGTTTTTAAATTTAAGAAGTCATAGAATAAGTGTTATTTTATCTGTACAACTTTTGATCATTTCTTCTTGAAATACATGAACCTTGTAATATGCTGACTAAGGGTAAAAAAAGGTGTTACTGATTTACAGAAATTTGTTTGACATTGCCAAAATTTCAAAACGTTGTAAAAGTAACTTTACATTCACTTATGTGTTTTTCTTAATGCTGGCTAGGAACAGAAGCAAAAATACCAAAATGTATTTTTTTTACAAATTTCGCACTCTAATCCATATTTCAACTACCTAAGATAATGAAAGTAATAACATATCCAATCTAAGCTTATGCCAGTAAGAATTTGAGATAAGCTTTTAAATTTATGGAGGATTTTCTTTGTGTCTCTGAAAGTTCACTTACCATAAGGTATTTTATAGTCTACTTTAAATAACAGATTTTGTTATACAGGGTAAGCCAAAGGCTGTACAAGAATTAGTGTCATTGGGTCTGATATTTGTGTTAGACCATGAAATATTCCATTAAAATTTATCTGTAAATACAAGACAAGATTTTGTATCTGTTTTATTTTATTAAATAACATTTTATTTTATTTTTAATTCATTTTTTCTCAGGAAAAGAAACTAGTCAATACAGGTTAGGAAATTTGACACTGCATCAAAGATCAGAATCAGGATGTCTGAAAGAAAATGCTGACATTGGAAGCAACATTCATTGAGGTGTTTTCTTCCTTTTCAAAACTGATACCCAGAACTTCCACTCTGTGCAGCTCTACAACTAAGCACAAACACAACAACCATGCTTCCTACATCAACAAACTTTGTGTTTTCATAATGGCAATTTTTATTTTGGTCAAAATATTCTGTGGCATTTTTTAAATCAAGGGAGGCACACCTGAAAATCTTAATACAATTTACTGAAGAATAGTGACCTGTCTTACTGTCCTTAATTACTAATTACTTAATTACTAAATACATAGTGGTTTTAGAACACGAGAGACCTTTTTGTTACAGAAACTCAGGAATAATGCTAATATATGACAGTATATACCTTTATACTGAAAAGTTTCAGAAAACACGATTTTTTAAAATTTTCCAATTCTACTTTTTTTTGTTTGTTTTCTGAACTTTAAGGGTACTGGTCTCTCTTGATGTTTTGAAAGCCAGAAATTGTGGGAATGTATAAAGAAAAGATTAAAGCAGTCAGCAAGTTTCCCAGTATTGTTCTAGTTTGCACGGTATTTAAGCAAACCATAGCTATTGAACATCTCTTATAGACAATACGTCTACTCATGCAGACCGGAATATAGCATTCTATGCACAGATCTAGAATTAGATTATTCTCCCAAATAATGGCTATTTTCTGTAGTTTTCATATTCCTATTCCAGAAGGAAGAATCAGGAAATCCAGCAACCAAAACCAAAATAAACGTAATTATGCAATTAATTCTATAAGCTGATCAAACTGAAAAATGAAGGAATACATGACTTATCTTTCAGACACTGTTCATAATCTCAAATATAACTGATATGTATCCATGTTGGTTTCTAACAAATAAATCAAATTGACAAGAAGATACTTTTTCATGCTAAAAAATGTTGGAAATTGAGTTTCCTGCTGAAGAGTAGCCATACTATGATTAGAGTCAGTGCATTGTTGAAGTCCAAAATTCAAAACTATGAATCATTGTTTCTATCAATCTGGATTGTTACACAGGTGTAGGGTACCCAGAACATGAACCCATAAGAAGGTTAAGAAATATATTTTAATGCAGAGTACAATTGGTGTATGATGAAACTATAGCCAAGATCCTGTTAAACTGGTGATATGTTCTGAACAGATTATACTCTTGGAATACTGCAGTTATTCCCTCTAAGATTTAAAACATACTGAACTGAATTAAATTCACATATCCATATTAGAACTATATCTTTTACTCTCAAATTAAGAAAATACCAAGAAGTAGAAATGCATTAAATATGTTGAATGAAAAGACCATTGGAAATTCCTTAAGGTAAGGTTTGTCTATTTGGTAATTTTATCAACGAATGGAAATACATCTCACTTCCCTTCCACCTGAGCTCAAAGAAGCAATATGAAATGAGAACTCTGGGGCCAGTGCCATGGCTCACTTGGTTAATCCTCCACTTGCAGCACCGGCATCCCATATGGGCCCCAAGTTCTAGTCCTGGTTGCTCCTCTTCAGGTCCAGCTCTCTGCTATGGCCCAGGAAGGCAGTGGAGAATGGCTCAATTGCTTGAGTGCCTGCACCTGTGTCGGAGACCAGGAGGAGGCACCTAGCTCCTGGCTTCGGATCTGCATAGTTCCGGCTGTAGTGGCCATTTTGGGGGTGAGCCAATGGAGGGAAGACCTTTCTCTCTGTCTCTCTCTCACTGTCTAACTCTATCTGTCAAATATAAAAAAAGAAAGGAGAACTTTAAGAGTCCCACAAACTCCAACAGCCCATTGCAGTAGGACTAGGAATCTAAGAGGTACAGGATAAAAACAGAACTCACTGAATCCAACCCCTCTAAACCTGACCTATCCATCTCCAGGTCCAAATCAATCATTAGGTCCAGACCCTATCTTCAGAAGACCCCTACTGCTTTGTTAGGGACTTTCACAACCTGTACTTACACCCACAATAGATAAGTACAACCTATCTATAATGACAATGAGCGAAAAATGCCATTCTGACCATGTCATGTGAAGAAAAACCCAGCAAAATCTTCTCAGAACACTGAGCCAGGTGCAAAACCAAGTGTCCAGTGCTGAGGGAGAACCACCGTGCCTTCTACTCTGTTCAAAAGCCCAGCCCAGGTCCCCATATTGAACCAGTTGGAAGAACATCTTCCTTCCATGCTGTCTCCCTTATATTTGGGCAGAAGCAATAGTGAAGCTTGTCTTGATTGTACATTTACCTCTTGTGAACTTCTATTTGCATGTGAGCTAAGGAACATGGGGTTGCTAACATAAGGACCCCAATTTTTATTATGTAATCTACCAACTACATACTCATTTGCTTCAAAAATAACTCTTTACCACTGAATTTGCTTCCATGAAAAATATAAACCAATTAACTTTGAAACTCTTGCTACAAACTATTCATTCAACTGCTTCAGGCAACTTCCTACCCCCAAGGACTGAACAACACACATTCCTTTAGGGGCCTCTAGGAATCATAGAAAAGTATTTGCATTTTCAATAATGTTTTGTTTACAGATTTTGCTGTTAATCTAAAAGAATCATGAAAACCTGAACACATATTGCTTTGCATAGAAAATGGAGAAGTTTTAAGTCTTTTCATGAGCACCAATCTAAAAGTCTCTATCATCTTTCATCAAAGATCTTGTCCCAAACATCCAAAAACACATGTTATCCATATTGTCCTTCTTCTTATTATTATTCTTTATTTAAAAAAGATGGATTGATTGACTTAAAAGACAGGGTTAGATACAGAGAGGAGAGACTGAGATCTTCCATCCACTGATTCACTCCCCAAATGACTGCAATGGCCTCAACTGGACCAAGTCTAAGCCAGGAGCCTGGATCTCCTGGGTCTCCTAGGTTGGTGGCAGTAATCCAAGCACTTGAGCCATGTTCTACTGCTTTCCCAGGTGCGTTAGCAGGGAGCTGGATTGGAAGTAGAGCAGCAGGGACTCAAACAGGTGCCCATTGGGGATGCTGTCACTGCATGTGTCAGCTTAACCTGCTGTGCCACAACACTCACCCCTGTATTTGTCTTTCTTGTACCTTATTACTATCTATTATCTTGGTGTCAAGGTATTAGAGTATCCCTTCCCCCAAATTTTCTACATCTCCCAAACACCTTCCACTTCCCCAGGGATACAGAAGTGCATTTTTTATATTTATTTATTTATTCGAAAGTCAGAGTTACACAGAGAGGAGAGGTAGAGAGAGAGAGAGAGAGAGGTCTTTCATCAACTGGTTCACTCCCCAGTTGGCCGCAACAGCCAGAGCTGCACTGAACTAAAGCCAGGATGCAGGGGCTTTCTCCAGATCTTCCCATGTGAGTTCAGGGGCCCAAGGACTTGGGCCATCTTCTACTGCTTTCCCAGGCCATAGCAGAGAGCTGGACCAGAAGTGGAGCAGCTGGGACTTGAACAGGCACCCATATGGGATGTTGGCACTGCAGGCAGCGGCTTTACCCACTACACCACACCGCTGGCCCCTAGAAGTACATTTTTCTCACTAGAAGGTAATTTTGAAGAATTCTAGCTCAGGTTAAAGGTCACAATGGTTATTTAGTGGAAGAGCCAGATTTGTAATATAAACCTAAACTATTTTCTCCCAGACTAGCGCAGTGAGTTCCTTCCCCACTCTGGCATCTTAATCCAATCTGTGGTATAAATCTAACTGAACAACATTGCATGTATGGTATAATTTTGTGCCAATGGGAACACACAGTCAGATTATCCTTCCCCCAGTGTTGTTTGTGGAGCATTCTGAACAGTCTGATCTGTCAGGGGCATAATTAACCTAAACCACAGGAATCTTGGAGCCACCATTTTTAAACGTTTCAAGATTCTGAGATTCTCTTAATGTCCCCACAACTGAATGACTAAATTATAATTGGATTGTAAATTCTATGTAATGCAGTTGCTGACAGCAAGTAGGAATCTAACCAGAGATTTATCTATTTATTTTCTAGTCCAAGTAGGTAGAGGAGAAAGGAACAGTTTGGGAGCATAGTAATTTACTGAGGTGAGAACTGAATGGCTTCCTATGGAGGCACTGAATCCTACCAGAGAAGCATAAGGATGCTAGGGAGTGTATGTTTACACGAAGCGCATTTTCCAAGTTGATGGTACACACTGATTTGGACTCTGGAAGTGATGCTGTTGGAAGTGACTTTGTAGCAAGATATGATAGCTAGTCAAAACTCAACACAGCAAGCGAATTAACCCCAAAATCACATGTTGTCCAATTTAAAAATATTAATCAGCTTAAAACCAAATTTGTATAGCTATGGGTCTGCTTCCATTTATCATTTCCGTCAGTCGTAGTTCTTGGATGATATGACTTCATTAGGTGAAGCTGTAATCTAGAATTTCCTATCAGGGTTGATTCCATGGGTAAGTGATCAGTGGAACTACACAAAACCCTGAACTCCAAATGAGGACACACATGGGATTTAAAGTTTCCTAGTGTGCATCTTAAAGTTCTCAATAATTGATCTTTGAAATTGTGTTTTGTGAGAGAAAACGAGTGAAGCAATTGCTGGAGACTTTGGCACATGTGTTGTTCTGCCTCTCACCACCACTTTGCCTCCCAGGATAGGCACAAAACTACCTATTGCCTCATTCAAAATCAGTGACCTCTACAGCACCGTGGCGTTGGCACAGGTCCAGACATGATTTTCCCACATGCAGAGGTGCAGGGTGCTCCCAGAAGTCTACAAGGTGTGCACTCTATGAGTACCCTCATTTCTCAAAGAGTCTAACATCAACTAGCTAATAATAATAAAAAAAGAGCTTAAGTGAGAGAAACACCATGCATGAAAGGGTTTTTTTTTTCCTGAGTTTTTA